AATTAGTCCCAAATGGACTATATTAACAAGGTTTTTTTTCAAGGTATTTAGAAATTTGAAACGCACGTTTCTTTATATGAATAATAATCTTACTGAATTTTTTAAAGATAAAATTAAACATTATATAAAATTGAAGACAATGTATCAACTCATATGAACTCGATGGATAAACATGTTTTAGTCAATATAATCGAATTAACAGTTACAAAATATATTGTAATAATGAAATTGACATGTAGAACCACATGAGATTTCAAAAAAACTATGAATATGAACATTGAATCTATTGAATACAAGTAGATTAATTATTTACATGTAGTATTCATTAACCTTTGCTTCGAATTCATAAAAAAAGTACATCATCATTTACCAAAATAAAAGCTCAATAATAAAAAAGTAATAAACAATTTGGAAACAAGACCAACACGAAACAAAATAAACACACAGGTCACTTGACGCATGTTAAATCATGAAGGTAAGGAAACGTAAAAAGACAATAAAAACATGTCTTTATATCGAATGTTATTCCCGTTCATCCATCTGATACATTTTCACACAATTTTCTCTCGTTGATGATTGTTCTTTGATGGCTGTGCTATATACATTCATTATTTACTCAGATTGCGAAAGAATACCGTACATTGAAAAATAAAAAAAAAACTTTTTCATTCAGGTTACTTTACGTAAGTCTTCCAGATGTCAAAATATCGTTAAAAATTATGAAATTCTAGTTTTATCTTGCGCAATACTTTTACTATTTAAACTTTTTGCAGTTGGTAAATTGTTATTGCACAATCAAATTATACCAATATGCGATACCCCGCAGCTTATTTACTTGCTATATTAGGTGGCAATTCATCACCAGATGTAGCTGCAATTGCCAAGATTTTGGGTAGCGTTGGAATCGAATGTGATGAACAACGTGCTCAAAAAGTAATCGATGCTTGTAAAGGTAGAGATGTTAATGAAATTATTGCTGAGGGCTTAAAAAAGATGGACAATTCTACCTTGATAAGTACATCTATGGTAACGTCTACACCTACAAGCAACCAAACAGTTGCTCATACAGAACCACCAGACACAAATGAAATTGAAAATCCAGACATCAGCCCACCTTCAACTCCTGGTAGCAACTCAGGCATGGTAAGTCCTTGGTTTCATGTCATAGTTTCTATTTTGATTGATACATTTTTGTTTATTTTTAATAGTTTGACTTGTTCGGCTAATGAAAAATATCAAACATTGACCATAATCAAAGTGAACAGCAACTTCAAATTTCAATGATATCTTTTTTAAATTGTTTTTGTTGTAAAAAAAATAATAAAATTTGGGCTCATTCATTCAAATATGAAATAATGCGTTATAATTGAACTCGATCAAATATATTACTGGAATTTTATAATCTTTTCGAATACAAGTTGCGAATTTTTGTAGTAAATTTGAGTTGAGATTTTAGAGATCTGTAAATTAACTTGGAACGAACTTCAGCGCGCAGAAAAACTATCAGAGTAGAAGCGAAAAGTATTTAAAAAATAACAAACGTATATCTGTACAAAGTGGTATATTAAACATGACTTTGTTCCAAGTCATTTATCAACAGTGAAGCGTTTAATAAGGGGCATTGTGTTGATCTTTTTCTTATTACTGTAGAAAAAAGTTTAATAGTTGACTGATCTGATCAGTTCCAGATGGACATTCTGAAAACAAGATTAAGACGGATATTCTTTTTGTTAGCATATAATACGACCATTTGATAGGAAAAATTGTTCTGTTTTGATCTACACAAAGCTGATATCTCCAACATGTTCTTTTCAACAGATCTATAGATTTTCTAGAGACCCTCGATTTTAATAAGTTAACCCCTGGTCACATGAAAATATCTCTAGAGAAAGGTAACTAACCAAGTTAAACCAAGACGTGGTATTTGTTTTCTATTTAAAAGTGATTGTCGACCAATATAACAGACTTTCTTGTGATATCATAGTTTTTTGCTATAGGACCTAAACAGTCGATGTTTTGAAACTCTTCCTATAGAGATCTCAAACTTCTTTTAAGGCTCTCTCAAAAATCGATATCAAGCGAGGTACATTGAAATCGCATGAAATTTTCATGATATGTCGAGGCTATAGTAAAATTTGCAGCCCTATATCATAACGTTTGACGGAGATATTGGCCAAACAATGGTCAAAAAATAGATGATTTCGTCTCCAAAAATTCTCTGTAGTCTTCAGTCTATATATTTAATCTTTTCTTCTGTTTGAAAGAGCATGTCAAAATGCATTGTCTACGAGAGCCTTTTTTTAAAATTCTTACTTTTTAAGAGAAAACAGAGATCGAAAGTTCAATGAGTCAAAACATCTCTCTAAAATTGGCACTCTAATTAAATAAACGTGTATATCTATAATAAAAGCAAAGCTTAATAAAAAAAACTGGCTCTCATAGACATTGCGGTATTACACGCTCTTTCAAGCAAAACAAAACTATTAGCTACAATGAAGCTCCTTTGAGAATTTTGGGAGACGCGATCGAAAACCTACAAAACGAGATGCCGAGTAAACATTTTTGTCATTTATGAGAGATCAAATCACGGGCTATCTTCTCCTGTACTTATCTTAATTTCGATCGTTCTGACGAAAAGTGACTTTTTTTTAGAGGGGAAGTTTAAATGAGGACTGGCAATATCTGTGTTCCACGATAAACAGATCTAAATAAATAGACGATTGATGACTTATCTTCGTAGAAATTATCATCACTTACTATTGGAAATAAAAAAAACATCCATCATCATGACAATGATGCATGCAATCGCTAATGTCATATCAATGAAACAGACCTTTTCTGCATCCATCCTTTGGTACAGAAATCAAGACTTTGCATAATGTCAATGAACGCTCTTTTCTATGAATCAATCAATATCTGCTCACCCACATATCAACAAATATAAGTAATTCTGTCTGTGCATACTGTATTGAATGCAGAAATATGTTTTCCAAAAGTATTAGTGCTTTTCTAATCAAGCAATATTCCACTTTCGATCTATGTAGTTTCATTAACAATCGATCGTCGTTTCAATATTATGCTCTATCAAGGTATTCCAATAATAGACATTGGTCTATTGCCTCTGATGAATACTAAAACCATGCTCTTGCTCGATAGCGGATGAATGGAACTGACGGTGAGAATCTTTTCTTCACCCATTCATGCCCTAGAGGAAAGCAATATGTATATAAACGAATATCAATTTCATTTTTTTTTTCAATACAATAATTAATAATGAATATCTATCTAGATGATACATGTCAAACCAATTGCTTTCTATGACGTTAACTATATGACTCCATTAGCAATAGAAGAATAATGACTTTTTAAAAAATAACGGAAGAATGACATGACTGAGAAGTAAACCTTCAATCAAACGTGTAACGATAAAATGAATACTAAGTCGAATTTTCATATTAAAAACATAGTATATTTGTTTATAAACTATTGATAACGATTGATTCGGTAATAAGACAAACATTTCATTGATCGATAAGATTCTACTCATTATAATAAAATAATTATTGCTATAAATAATTCTATTTATTTTAAAAAATATATAACTCATTTAATTTCTCTTTAACATACTCGACATTGCAAGGGAAAACAAGCATACTTCTGTTCCCAAAACAGAACACTTGTATTCTGTTTGTTCGATAAAAATCAAGGGAAAAGTGTATTTTTCTCTCGTACTTCTCGATACTCCCTTGTACATCTGTGGTACAGCAGTATGCTTGTTTTCCCTTACAATGTAGTCTATGTAGGGTGTGGGGTGTGATTAGAAGTGTGACCGTTTCATGATGAACGGCGCTTGTTTCATTTCTGGGGTGTGTGGGTGTGATTGTTGGGGAAAAGAAGACCCACACCCACACCCAAATCTTAACGCATCATCTTCACACATTCTGAGGGCATCTTCCCAAGTGAAGGTACACACCATCCACTATCTTCATGATCTTCTATATCTCTATGAGTGAAAAGTTTCGTAATGTTATTGAGATTGAAAGAAGTCATACCATTATACCCGCATTCACCCAAGACTAACAAATTCGCATCCACACCCAAGTTACTACGAAAGTAAAATATAAATACTCTAATTCTGACTCTCTCTCGTCTTCACCATATATGAAAAGCAGTCAATACAAATCAAAATGTGACACTACATAAATCCAACAGAAGCTGGTAAAAATTCATTTTCGACGAAAAATGATTGAACTCAATAAAAGATCGTCTTTTTTTATTCGTAAGACTTTTCTTATTGAGTACAACTTATCTTTCATAAATATCAACTTATTTAGTTGATTCTTCTAATCGTTCTTTAGGTGTATGTCGTTCATAGATATTTGTTAATAACTTAAGTTTATCTTTGGCTGATTGTTTTAATTGTTCCCATTTAAATCGCCAATTCCAATTTTCATTATAATCCGGTGTAAATGCTCTGAAAAAAAATATTTTGAATTAGAATAAACCTGAAAAATGAATTATTTCAACATACGGATTATTCATTTGACAACCTTCTGCAAGGCCAAGCATATCTTGAAATAGAACAATAGATAAATTAGCTATGCTAGCATGTATTAATCGAATTAAATCCCAATTAATATCATGTTCTGGATCACCTACTTTTTGTAAATATTTAATTAAATTTTCTTTTTCATTGTTCGTTGCGTTCTGACGAAACCATGCAACTATAGAATTTCGACAACAAACTTAATAAATAAAAAGATTTTTTTTATTAATAAATATTACTTGATGTATTATTATCATGAGTTCCTGTATAAACAACACAATTTCGATCATAATTATGTGGTAAATACATATTGTTTGGATCAGATCCAAATGCAAAATAAAGAACACGCATCCAGATGAGACCATATTTATCACGAAGATCAAATACTTCTTTTGTTAAATAACCTAAATCTTCTACGATTAATGGTAAATCATTACCGAGTGCTTTGATTACTTCTGTTAAAAATTCATCACCTGACAAAAAAAAGATGATTGACTGGAGATCGAAGAAAATATAATTAGAAAACTTACCACAGGCTTTTATCCATGCATCTTTACATGGTGATTTAGGTTTTCCATCTGGTCCCATTGGAATAGCCCTAAGAAGAACAATATTATCATTATTCATACTCCTCTTCGGTTGGATCGAAAATGAACTTGTCCTCTTGTTTTTTCCATTACTTAAGTTATTGTCTTCCAAATTTATGTCGGAAGAGTTGATTTTGATAAGCAAAAGATAACTTACCATAATGAGAGCAAACCTATTTGTTGAATCATAGTGTTAAATCTCGATTCAATTTTTTATCTTTTGTTCAAACAGAATATTATTTACCAATTTATATTTGCTTATTGGAAGATTTCACATAGTTCATTAATATAGAAGGAAAAATATCCTTGCCATTTGCTTTTGTCTACTCAACATTGTCATAAAAAAGAAAACATGTTGAATATTTCAAGTCGATCAAAACTTTTCCAATATCTGATAGTCATTCGAGTAACAAAACTATCTTGCACAAAGAACCGAGGGTTCGATCGATCTGCTCATATCATTGGCACATTAAAAGGGGACCTATACTCTATATATGCGATTGTTTTATTAGTGGCTCTTCTGGAATCACTTGGAATTAAACTAACTGTGAAAAATTGACATTAACAGCATATGAAATGCACAGCTAATATAGATTATTTATGATATTTAAATTTTCCCATCAACTAAAATTCGAGAGTTGATGTTCGGGTTTGAATTGTTCTCACGTGAAATCTGTTGTATTTTTATCTAAACATTACTATAGTCTAGCATCAACTTTTTTATGAAACTCATCTCTCATAAAAATGAAATATATACATGAATAAACTCTCAGATGTAATATATTTCTATCACAATTTCTTTTTTCTTATATTTTCAACAAATTTAAATGTTACCTAACTAAATGTATTTGACATTGATTTCTCACATTTCTCGCCACGTTCTATATCACTACATCATGTACTTATAATGTCACTAACAATTTTACAACACTGATTCTACTGTAAGTTTTATCAAAATAAAAAATTTTATCTTACCAATAAGCTTCTAAACCACGAAAATGATCAATACGAAGAACATCGACTGTTTCCAAAGATTTTTTCAAACGTTTTATCCACCAATCGAAATTTGTTTTACGTAGATTACCAGTCCAGTCATAGATTCTAAAAAACAAGAGATCATACACGTTTTTTTTTATCTTCAATCTAGAACAACTACGGATTATTCCATAATTGTCCATCGTCCTCTATTGAATCAGGTGGAACACCTGAAACAAACCAAATACAATGTTTGTACATTATATTACAAATTTACCTGATACTACTATCGGTAATGAAGTCGTTGGATCAAATTGAAATAGTGATTGATTTGCCCAAACATCTGCACTATCATAATCAACATAGACAGGCATATCTTGAAATAAATAAATTCTTCTTTAATAATTTTCTTAGAATTTTTTTTACCACCAAGAATTATAATTTCATGTTGATTAGCATACTGTTTTAGTTGATTCCATTGACGAAAAAATATATATTGAAGAAACAGATGTTGATCAATAACGTCTGCATGTTCATGTCGTTTTTGTTCTAAAACTTTTTTATTATATTGTTTTAATTTTTGTGGCCATTTTGACCATGATTGATTATTTTGTTTAGCTTTAATTGCCATATAAAGTGTATAATCATCAAGCCAATAATGTTCTTTTTTAGTGAATATATCGATTTCATTTTTAAATTTTGCTAAATGATTTTGTTTATAATTATTATATGCCAGATTTAATATACTATATTTCCATTTAAATACTTTATTATGTTCAATTCGATCACCAAATGTTGGTCGACTTGATTCAATATCCGACTGAACAAGTAGACCATCGTCAACTAATTTTTCTAAACTAATTAACAATGGATTACCGGCAAATGCTGATGTACCAGAATATGGTGACGGTTTTTCACTGGCAGTTAAAGGAAGAATCTATATAATAAAATAGAATATATTGCTAGTTTTAATATTCTTTTTAACCTGCCAAACTTTTTGATAACATTCATGCAGGAAATCGACAAATTTATGAGCTTCATTACCAATATCACCAATACCATGCGGTCCAGGAAGACTAGTAATATGGACAAGAATACCAGATGCACGATTAAGTTTTATCATCGTAACAAATACCAGATAAAAAAAATGTAAAATAAATTGATTTGAAACAAAATAAATGTTTTGAATTATATTGACAATCTATTGCTGCAATTTTCTTTTCTTTTTATGTTTCGGTTTACATGAATTCAATTGAATCCTCTTTTTCTTTACTCTTCATATGAAAAAGTCATGTATACTCAATGCATGTCTATTATATAAGAATTTTACAAGAAACTAAATGACATTTAAGTTTCACTCGATTGCAAAAAGCAGTGCGAAGTTATGAATATTGAGTATCGAAAAAAATCGATATCTCATAAAAAACGTATAATCATTTTTTGTGATTTATCTTAAATAGTTTTCATTCGTAGCTAATGGCATTAACATTATACTAGAATTAGGCTTTAATTCTTTTGCTGCGGCTTTGAAAATACACATTTCAATGAATCAGATGATCGAAGTTTGAAAGAATTTTGTAAAGAAATCATTGCAAAATTCATTACTGAGAAAACTCTATCGACAATTATCAATATGCTTCTAATGGAGACTATTGATTAATTTGCTTGAGTCTCTCTATAATATATTATCTATCATCAGCTGTACTCACGAATGTTTCAAATATGGCCTTGTCGCCAATAGAAAAATAATGTGATGTAGCTTCACAATTATATCGACATGCATCTATACATACATACTAGACGCATGCACCAATAAAAAGTCAGATTGTACCACTATGATGTAGTCGAAATGTATAAACGCAACGCACTTCTACAAAGTCAAATATTACATTTTCTTACTTTCTTTTCGTAAGAATATATCCAAGCAACTATTTATTATGTTAAAATAAAAGAAATTATATGATCTGAAATCTATAATAACTATAGAAATTTGAGTCGATATCGAAAAAACAATGTGTACATCGTGCCGGTGACATTGAAACAAGTCTAATTCTTAAATTATTTTCTTGATTTGTTCAGAAAAATATTGATTATCGTCTTTCAAAAGCTCTTTATGCTATATCTAGGGACGACCATTTTGTGAAAATACCGGACCATTCTTTTTTGTATTGATATTTTCTTAAGTGAACTTGAAGAAACAGCTTGTAGTCGATCGTCGGTGTTCCTACTGTCTAATAAAAGGTGTCATAAGGAACTATTCATGGTTTTAGCGAAGGTGCTGAACTTTTTAAAGTTTCATTCGTTTATTAAAAATCCATCTAAGGTTTTATATAACTTAAAGAACCATGTCAGATAAAGAATGGTTCAAGAAGTTTAAAAGAGTTCCACCGCAAACCCATTTTCTTTAAGCTGAACGTTTTTTTTTATAAAGATGGTTCTAGCGCAAGTCGCTTGAACTTAGCTGGATAGTGTGGGTGTTCGTGAAAGCGAGACAGAGCCACATCCACATCCTCGCTTCATCTCAACCTAATCAAGAAAATATTGTATGCAGTTACAATACTACAGCTACTGTACTCAGTAATCAAGAGGGTGTGGGTGTCTTTCAAACAAGAATAGATCTAACACCGCATCCACACCCACACTCAGACACCCATGCCCCGATTCTTTTTCGAACAAACAAAATGAACAGAAATGAACCACAAAGCAGTTTTGTGCAACGAGAACCGAGATAAATAATTATATCTCTGCTCTCGATATAGTTGTCTATTGTCGTAGTTCTTATCTGCAGAGTGTCACCATATTGCATTCAACACATATTTATCCTGGAAAGAAAGAGAAAGGGGATGTTGGATTTATTCTTGTTTTCAAAGACTCCCACACCCATCCGGACTATAATATACATAGTCTATCAGATTATGCATCAAACATTAGTGAAAATATAGGCGAAAATCATTAAGAAATTGATGGATTTGTAGTAAACAAAGACCTAAACATAAAAACACTTACAGGCTGCTTTCTTGATTGAGAAATGAAAATGAAATGTATTTGAAACTATCGCATAATTAGTTTTATGTAGTCTATTGAATAGCACACAATTGATTGACTCTAGATGAAATGCCTATGAATATAAACGGATGGTCATTAACCTACGATATCAAATAACGTTGTATTCAAACTATCATTGAATAATTGTGGTAGATGCATTATGACAACGATACGAACATCGTTTTGTCAGAGAAATTGCACTATGGATAACTATGATGATGATTAAACATAGACATAGCTCAACTGATTCGTAGTCTATAGAAGAGAAAACTATAATTCTGTCATCAGATCATTAAAATAATTATTACATTTTATTTTCAAAGAAAAAAATAACTTAGTAAATTGTTCTCAGTAGTTTTTTAATAATCTATATCTTCACATAATTGTGCAAACACGTGATTGTGTAGTAGTACCCGATGTACACGTGATCAACGAATTGTTTTTCGATAAGAGAACACGTATAGCTACCTCCTTTGCCATTTCTTCAGTTTTGTCTTTATACGAAATTCTTTCTTTGTCTTCAAGTAAATTTCGCATCCATTCTCGATTAAATTTAAAGTTGACTTCAATATCAACGACAATAAAACGTAAACCTTTATTATGCAAACGTGCTCTACTCATTGCATAGATTAATTCTTGCCTGTTCGTTCGACTATCGTCATAGGCACTCGATGCTAAAACGACAATAATCGTTGCAGAATCAATTGCCGGTGCTATAAAATCCCATATTGCATCCGTCTCATCGACATTTTCATAATCAACCCAAATTGTTACTGATGTAAAATTACGTAAATTCTTAACAAATGATTTACAAATTTCTTTATCAGCCCAATTGTAACTAATACAGATCATTGGATCTTTGTCTATTTTCGATTCATTCGGTGATGAATTCAAGTTTGATAATAATTGAATATTGAACCAAGTTCGTTTAGCAACATCTTGTTTCGGTTTTTTCGCAAGACTTTCAATGAGAACACATAGAGGCAGATGCGATTTCAATACGTTTAAATATTCTGGATAATTTGAAATACATAAAAGAATTTTAAGTAATGATATTCCAACTAATTTCTCAGGATGATCTGCTTCGTGATCGAACAATGGTCCATAGACAGTTAAAAAAAGATCTCCAAAGAATAGAATTGATTCTCTTTTCACGTCAAATTCATCGCCAAGAATATTTCTTACAATAGCCGTATTTGAAAAAGCACCGTGAAGTAAATAGAGTAATTCGGATAGATGATATCCACCATGCCTTAAATCACCATTTTTTTTATGGATCATATTAATATCTTGAAATAGTTTTTCGCTAGTCTGAAGAAAAAGATCTCTATTTGCTTTTTGTTCTTCATCATTTTTAGCCAATGCAATTAATAAACTACCGAAAACATGAATCGACTTTTCCTGGCTCATTATGAAAGATTTGCGTTTCATTAATATTTCAAATGCTTGTTCTTTTCGCAATGCTTTCGATCCTTTACTGTGTCTTGAGAGATTGTAGATGATACCCAAAATGGTTGTATTCAAATTTCCGGTTAGATTTTCGAATGATGATCCATCAAGCCATTTGACAGTAGCTGCGGCATAACCGACTTCAATGAACATAGGCACGAGCAGGGTGTGATCAGTCAAGTTCATCACAAAAATCAAGATACTATTAATGGTACTTGTCTGGAATTCGGGCGCAGTGTATGGATCATCACGGGCAAAAAAATGTTCGGCAAAATGAAGTATTGAGCAGAAAATGCAGCGGTAATTTATGATGAATTCATCTATTGATCGAATTGTTATTTTTTTCAGCAAGAGAAGATGAAAGACTAATCAAGTATTTTACAAGTTTTTTCAATTCATCGATTTCGATGTGTGAATGTTGAGTTTCTGTGGGTCCATCATCTAAATTATTAACACTGTTGATTACTAAGGTCTTCTATATCATCTCAACATATCAGTTTTTCCATTCTCTATTTAGACTATCATGAGAAGCTCTTTCAAGAGTGTCAAATTTTCAACAAATTTATCCGAATCGTTAGAAAAATTCGGGAACTTAATATCTTGATTCAAATATCAAATTGATCGTATTAAATTATTTGAGATAATTGATGGTGCATGCGTATAGAAAACAAGGGAAAAGTTTTAGGTGCAAAGTAACCTTTCGATGGGTTTTTTAATAAATCGACTTTTAGAAAAAATTTTCAAATCGGATCTCGTGGCGTGAATGAAAGTTCCGTTAGAAGCATTTATATACATTAACATTCTTTTCTGACCATCGATCCTAATTTTGAATTTTCTAAAATCACAACTAACACTCATCGACAGTCGATTCACTCAACCCTAGACTGAGGAACTAATTAGTAGACCAAGGAAAATTCATCTACATCTGTATGTCTGTAACACTTGGTACAAGTGAGCGAAACAATATCACTGTGAATATAGCGATGCCATAGATAACCAAAACATGGTCATTTCAACCATACCTATCGTCTTTTGGACCAAACGTATGAGCATTTTATTATACTTTTGGTCACTCGTATCATTCTTATAATCACTTGTATCATCCCTGTAGTGACTTGTGCCATCATTTCGGTCATTTGTATCATCGTTTTAGTCCTTTGTACCATCTCTGTGGTTACTTGTATCTTTTGTTGCAAACAGATAAACAGATAGAGGTGAATTTCGGTTTCTAGACCCTATCCTTTCAGTTTAGGGAAAAGGTTTATAGATAATTTTGCTAAAGAAACATTGATTTTTCTCAATAAGAATCAATAAGTGAAAAGATTTCATATTGGAGGAAAATACTCTGTCTCTTCTCGATGGTTAGAAATGAATTTATCGTCACTGAAACTATTTTGGAGATAATTTTTTGGAAATCGGAATATTAAGTTTGAAACGATCGGGTTTGTTTTTGTTAAACAATTCAGTAATACCTCGCATTGTCACTTCGGCTGTTGTAATTTTTCGTGTTGTCGTATCATTTGCTAAGAATAGTTTGAGACATAAATCGAGGAGATCGTCCTTAGCAAAAGACATTAGAACTAAATCGAAAATATCCGTAAGATACTGATTGTCTTCATTCGATTTGAATTCTGGACGTTGAGTTAATAAACTAGTGACCAAAAGTGAGAAACTCTTTCGCGATGTTATCATTTCGCCATTTTCGATAGTATAAAAACGAATAAATGTAGTAGACATAGAAACAAAACGAGTAGCCCGACTATCATCTGCCAGACTTGTAAATATATTCTGTAAATTCTTGTTAAGACTGGCACAAATTTCGTCAATCTCTTCGTCTTGGGGTGTGTGGGTGTGGGTGTATGGATGTGGGTGCAGCGGTGGATGTGAGTGTGAGTGTGGATGACCATTCGTTGAACCCACACCCGCACCCACACACCCACATCCACACCCCACACCCACACCCGCAAATACCATTTTTTGCTAATAAATACTGTCTATGCACCAATAGGACTTATGTATAAATCACAAAGAAAATCTACAAGACCAAATAGAATTCATAGTACAAATTATAGTAGAAGAATAGCTGTTATTGTTCATGTCTTTGAAGTTGAGACAAAAATGAGAATTGTGAGTCTTGACGGAATGAACGAAACGAAGTAAGCAAGGAAGAACAGTGAGTCATTTATTGTTGATTTCGTGCATTCAAACGGAATTGAAATGGTTAAGCTTGGCTCAACTAAGATAACTCAGAAAATTGCATTGATTACCACATGTTTATGATTATGATGCTCTTCTTTTATATGTTGTATGTGTGAATTTTTTTGTTGACTAACGTGTGGTTCTTTGCAATACAAATAATAGTGCCAATAGTTGAGATGACTTCAAGTGAAAAAGGTACAATGAAATGAAAAATATTAATAAATGATTTGTAGATTTCGATAGTGGATGTTACACATTAATCAGATACTAAGTCCATTTTTCTTCTTCGTCGTCAATTAGATGACGGTGAATAGGATCATGTAAAAAAAAGATAGATGTACATAATAGAACACAAAATACAACTATTTTTACAATCGTTCTACTTTTCATCAAGTTAAAATTAATCTCAAGAACATCGGTAAAAAGTCGTTCAATAGCGATACAGGTATGAGACCAATCATAATGACTAATGGAAATCGAAAAAGAAATTCAGTTAAAATGCAACTAATCAAGAGAAAATCATCCGAAATAATCGTAGACATTTGAGAAAGAATCAGAAACCATAATTTTAAATTTAAATCATTTATGTTTAAAATTGATGCCGTAGATGATACAAGCAGTTAAAATGGTTGTTTTTTCTTGAAACGAATTAGTATGAAAAGATAAAGAGTACAAATATAATGCTTCAATGCTTTTCTTTTTTTTTCTCTGTTGCTTCTTCTTTTTTCTTTCCTTTCATTTTCGTACTCGCTTGTCGTCTTTTTTTTTCGTATTATTCTGTTTCTTTTTTCGTTTTTCATTTTTTTTTATTTACTTCGTTAGTATTTCTACATGCGTGAGCTAATCTTCATCATAATTATATTTAAGGCAATTTATAATGCGCTTTGCATTAATGATGATACTTCTGACTAAAAATATTTTAATCTCTTTCTCTGTTATCATGTAAGTAGTTTCGAGTGTCACATCTTCTAGTATACTTTAAAAAGATAGGTTAGTAGGTAATATAGTGCATGCTCTCTTGAATATTCAACAGAATTTTTATCGTCATACATTCACTTGTATGAACGACAGAAGATAGAGTAAGTAAAACGACGTTAATATTTGTATGACGCAGATGCCATATATGATTGATATCTCGTCCTCGATTCATCCAAACATAGACGTTTATACATAATAAAAAAATGCATTTTGTGATATAAATATAGTCATTTACACTCAAAAATCAGATCTATTTTACAATGTAAATATAAGCATTTATATTGAAAAAATCAAACTATTTTGTGATATATATATACACAGTACATTTCCGCGTTCTCATTCAAAAGAAACTGTTAATTGATTGTAGTTTTACTGTGATCTTAAACACAAGATTTCCTACTAATCCAACAAGTAATTGTATGCCTCTGGATGTTACAAACTAGCCCAGTAATATGTTAAAATAGGTCTTGCAAATCTCTGATGAGATCTCAAGAACTGTTACTCAATGGAGAGATGTGCAAATTAAATTTAAATGAATTTTAAAAAATTTAAATCTTCATAAATTGAATCTAAATTTGAATTCAAAATAGCTTAACAGGACATCGATACTCGTATGGTTAAGCTAACATTAAAATAAAATTAGGTTTTTCAGAAATAATATCTGGATCTGATTAATTTTTCACTTAAGATCGACCAAAAGTTCTGTCATCATGAAATGAAAATAAGTAGACAAACAGATATTTCCAATTTTATTTGATCCATTAATGACACTTAGTGTTATGATTATCTATACTAACTTCATCTCTTCCCCATAGTTTCTTGAAAGTTTTTTCGAACTCTTTTCTTTTCAAGTTTTTAGTTACCTTGAAAATCGCATGAGACAGAGTTGTCATTAAATTAATCAGTTAAATTTTGTTCGAAAAAGTCGTTGAACTCAAAACTATATTGTGTTGTATATGACTAATAGGGTTGTTGTTACATTCAATTGAGTGTGGGTATGAATGAAGACTACTTTCACGGAACACTCGCATTTACCTCTACACAAGCACACCCTCATCCTAGAAAGTGAGAAGGCCCGTGATAAGGGACTCATAACTCTTTTACTTTAACAGTCGTAACCCTGAAGAATAAACCTTGATGTATGCATAACTTCCATATGGTTAAAAATTACGACCAATCATTGAGAGAGATATTTATCAAGTATTTTCAAAATGCACATTTTTGTTAGGTTCAGAACAGTGTCTGAACTTCAGCTATCTTGTCACATCAGATGAAATCAATGGATTCAAATCCTGAAAATTTCTAGAGAAGTCAATCATGATCTATCCTTGTGAACAGTGAAAAATCTGTGAATTGAACAAAGGATAACATTCTTCAATAAAATGACAATTTTTGTTCAAATTAGTAATCATGAATTAGCAGCAAAATCTCATCCGACTTGTCTAAGACAGCCCAAAAGCTTACTTTTGTTTTGTGCAAATTTCTCTGCTACTTTGTCCGACAGAAAAAATTCTATCTGGCCATAGATGCATCATCTTACAATGATCTCTACTAGCTATTTAAAAAACTGATGCAAACTTTTACTAAATATGCAAACCATTGCCAAGCTTGATTCTTATTATTTTCAAGTTTTCGAAATTTCGTATGCCTACTGTTGGAGAACGGATCTGTTCTACGTGATTTTTCGAAAAATAATTGAAAAAAATCAATCACCCATGATCGAGCTCTTTGGGAACCGCAAAGATGTTTCCACAAAACTTTATTAAGTTTTCTTTTTGCAGTTAGATACACAGCTGAAACTCCAAAACTTGATGTTGCATGAATGTTTCGCATTGTATCTGAACATAATTTGAGCAAACTGGATCTCGGTACAAATAAACTCACCCCCGCTAAATGTTTCACTAAGTGATCCTGAAGCAGTCGCGAAATCTGTAAGTACTTTTAGCTCACAAGTATATATCTTCGTTGAGGTATACAATGTTCATAGTGTCAAAAATATGTTGACAACCAGGTTTTTCAGTGTTTCCGATCAGCCGAATAGGTTTTTTCGAGTGCTCAAAATAGAAGCCTAGTACGCATGTCCTTCTATCATCTTCTAATAAAATAGAAGGCAATCTGAAGGTTTCCCAAGAAGATTTCCAACATTCTTTATTCTACAGAATAAAACTGTAAAATCTCGAATCTCTGCTTGTCGACATAAAACTTACATAGAATTCAAGAAAAAAGGAAGAATGTAAGCAGTCAAAAATGTTTTCACAAGCTGGTAAAAGTGTTTTTCTTTCAGTTAGGCAAGATTCGGGTTGGATCTAAAGTCTTCTTTTAGATCTTGAAATACTTTCAATAACAATCATTTGATGGCAGTAGAAATAACTGCAGGTGCAGTAATCAAATTATCTCAACAAAGACAAGCACAATGGTATTGGAAATCTAACCCAACTCGACGATTAAAAAATGAAAAAGAAGAATGGATACAATTTTCCGATATCGAATCAGAAATTATTGAGGAAGCATTGAATGGAAATCATAATATAAAATTGATAGAATTAGATGATTATTGGATTGATTTGAATCACTCCATTCAAATTAGTAAATGTGATCAAAAACAACAAACACAAATAAAACATATACCGATTAGCAAAGATAGAAATCCTTTTCTAAGGGAGGAGAGATTTTTTCTTCCACTACCAGTCGGCAAACCGTTCAATGAGTGGACATATGGCGGTTATTGGTTTATTCAGGAATGGCTGAAAAAACAGCGAGACAATATTTCCAACAGTCATATAATACAACAAGCAGTGACTGGAATAATTATCGAAGGAACTCAAATAAACAAATTATGTGAAGCACAATGGATTGCGCAACAATTGTTAGCAGTCGAAAATAACGATGCAATAGATATACATGAATGTGCTATTCACCTATATACGATGAATTATTTTCTATACAAACTAGTCAATGAAGCATTGAGAGAAAATGATAAGACCAAAATAGACACTCTTGGTCCATACTGCTATCTTTTGTACTATTCCTGGTACAGAGTCAACACTAGGACAACAACCGAAGTGTATCGTGGTGCACAACTCAATTCACACATGATTCAGTATTACAAACAGGCAGTTGGCACGAAGAGATGTTGGTTCGGGTTTACCTCCACGAGTAGCAACAGGAACGTGGCTGAAATGTTTGGAAACACATTATTTATCATCGATATGTCATTTTTCAGTGGATTAGATATCTGTTCATATTCGCAATTCCCATATGAAGAAGAAGTGCTACTACCAGCTGGAACAAAATTTCTAATCCAGAAGATTGAATGTGAAGATATACAAGATAAATACAGTATACATATAAAGCTTCTTGCAAAAAACAATATCCTACAACAGCAACTTGATAAAACTGACTGCGTGACAACAATGCAACTGGCAAACGGTGAACTTGATTATCTCGATATAGAAATACTGCTAAAATACGTGAAAGTCAATCTCAGTCTTACCATTATAGACCTTTCACACAATCGAATAGATGAAAAAGCCGCTGAAGCACTGGTAGATATCCTAAAATCCAACAAAACCATTACTACTCTTCAACTTACATCAAACCAACTATATGACAAAGGAGCTGAAGTACTTGGGAATGCACTGAAAGTCAATACAACTCTGACAACTCTTAACCTTAGAGACAACGGAATATCTGTCAATGGAACTGACGCATTGGGTGATGCACTGAAAGCAAATCAAACTCTTACTAATCTTAATCTTGCATACAACCGAATATCTCACGAAGGAGCTGAAGTGATCGCCAATGCGTTGAAAGTCAATCATACTCTTACTACTCTCAATCTTGGAGTTAATCAAATATCTGACAAAGGAGCTGAAGCACTCGCTGATGCGTTGAAATTCAATCTAACACTTATTACCCTTGATCTGCATCGGAATCTCATCACTGAGAAAGGAGCTCAAGCACTCGCTGATGGATTAAAAGCAAATAAAACTCTTCATATTCTCAATCTTAGATACAACAAAATATCTGATCCAGGAGCCGAAATACTAGCTGAGGCGTTAAAAGTTAACCAAACCCTTAATACTATATATCTTAAATCCAACACCATATCTGACAAAGGCGCTCACGCGCTCTCAGATATGTTGAAAGTCAATCAAACTCTTACTTCTCTTCATCTTGAAGACAACCAAATATACGACAAAGGAGCTCAAGCACTAGCTGACACATTGAAATCCAATCAAACACTTATTACCCTTGATCTGCACAGGAACCAAATATCTGACAAAGGAGCTGAAGCATTCGGTGATGCATTGATAGTTAATCAAACTCTTAATACCCTTCATCTCTACATGAATCAAATATCTGACAAAGCAGTCGAAGCGCTCTCATACAAACTAAAAGTCCATCAAGCTTCTACAACCGTTACCCTTAGAGACGACGAAATATTTGCGAAGGAAGCTGAAGCATTTGCGGATGCATTTCGACACGATCCTACCATTACTTCTGTTCATCGTGCAGACGACGCAATGTTGGACTTTGGGATTGAAGCACTGGGTCAAGCATTAGGAGTTCGTCAAACTCCTACCTTACCTAACTCTACATCGGACAGAATTTCAGACATACGAGGTGACGTCCTCGCGGACAAATTGCAAGCTCATGAAATTGTGACTACTCTTAATCTTCAACACAACCAGATATCTGACGAAGGAGCCCAAGCTGTCGCGGATACATTAAAAGTCAATCAAACATTAACTACCCTTTCCCTTCAAAACAACCAAATATATAACAAAGGAGCAAAAACACTCGCTCTTGCATTAAAAGTCAACCAAACTCTTACCACTCTGGATCTTGAAAACAATCAAATATCTAATGCAGGGGCTGAAGCGTTGGCTGATGCATTGGAAGTCAATCAGACTCTTACTATTCTTAACCTTGGTTGCAACAGCATATCGGAAAAAGGAGCTGATGTACTCGCGGATGCATTGAAAGTAAATACATTTCTTACTAGTCTTGATCTTGGGCACAACGAAATATCTGACAAAGGAGCTCAATCAATCGCGGATACACTGAAAGTCAACCAAATTCTTACTACTCTTATTCTTAGCAACAACGAAATATCTGACAAAGGAGCTAAAGCACTTGCCATTGCATTGAAAGTCAATCAAAATCTTACTACTCTTGATCTTCAAAACAATAAAATATCTCACAAGGTAACTGAAGCATTCGGTGATGCATTGAAAGTTAATCAAACTCTTACTACTCTTAATCTTGCTACGAACGAAATATCTACGAAAGGAGCTGAAATAATCGGGAAGGCATTGAAAGTCAATCAAACTCTTATTACTCTTGACCTGAGCTCAAACAACATACTAGACAAAGGAGTTGAAGCACTCTCCGATACATTGAAAGTCAATCAAACTCTTACTACTCTTGGTGTTTGGTACAACGGTATATCCGAGAAAGGAGCTGAAGCACTTGCTGAAGCATTGAAAGTCAATAAAACTCTTACTACTCTTGATCTTACACTGAACAAAATATCTGACAAAGGAGTTGAAGCGATTGCAACTGCATTGAAAATCAATAAAGTTCTTACTACTCTTGGTCTTTCGTCCAATCAAATATCTGAGAAAGGAGGTAAGGCACTAGCTGATGCAATAAAAGTTAACGAAACTCTTACTACTCTTGACCTTAAATGTAACAAAATCTCTGACAAAGGAGCTGAAGTACTCGCAGATGCATTGAAAGTTAACAAAACGCTGACTACTCTTAACCTTATAGCGAGCAAAATATATGACAAAGGAGCTGAAGCAATCGCGGATACATTAAAAATCAATCAAACTCTCACTACTCTTCATCTTGCAGGCAACCAAATATCGGACAAAGGAGCTGAAGCATTGGCTGATGCATTGAAGATCAATGAAACCCTTACTGCTCTTGATCTGGGCGAAAATCAAATCACTGAGAAAGGAATTGGTGCACTGTCGGATGCTGTCAAATTCCATCAACCTGTTACTACTCTTTGTCTTTTGCAAAATCAAATATCTGTGAAAGAAGCTGAAGTCCTTGCGAATACGCTGCAAGTCCATGAAACTCTTACTACTCTTAGTCTTGAATACAACCAAATATATGACAGGGGAGCTCAAGCAATCGCGGACGTATTGAAAGTCAATGAAACTCTTACTACTCTTACTCTGAAAGACAATCAAATATTTGAGAAGGGAGCTGAAGCGCTCGCTGATGCATTAAAAGTCAATCAAACACTTAATACTCTTTGTCTTTGGTACAATGAAATATCTGACAAAGGAGCTGAAGCTATCGCGGATGCATTGAAAGTAAATCAAACTCTAACTGCTCTTGATCTTTCAGAGAACCAAATATCTGACAAAGGTGCTCAAGCGCTCGCCGATGCATTGAAAGTCAATAAAACTCTTGCTAATCTTAATCTTGAATTTCTGCAAATATCTGACAAAGGAACTGAAGCAATCGCTGATGCGTTGAAAGTCAATCAAAGTCTTACTGTTCTTGAGCTTAAATGGAATCAAATATCTGACAAAGGAGCTGAGGCATTCTCAGATACATTAAAAATGAATAAAACTCTTACTAATCTGAATCTTGCGTACAACAATATATCTGAGAAGGGAGCTGAAGTACTTGCCGATGCATTGAAAGTCAATCGCACTCTTACTACTCTTCATCTAGAGGGAAATCAAATATTTGATCAAGGAGCTGTAGCACTTGCGAATGCATTGAAAGTCAATCAAACTATCACTAGTCTTAATCTTGCAAACAACTCCATGCTTGACTATGAGATCGAAGTTCTCGCCGATGGACTGAAATTCAATCACAGTCTTACGACTCTTCATCTGAACGGTAATCGTATATCTGACAAAGGAGCTGTAGCACTTGCTGATGCACTGAAAGTCAATGGAACTCTGACTACACTTTACTTGTTTTGGAATCAAATATCTGACAAAGGGGCTCATGCATTCGCTGATGCACTGAAAGTCAATCAAACTCTCACGATTCTCAATCTTGATGGCAACAAAATTTCTAAGGAAGAAGAGGAAGCACTGGTTGATGTGTTGGAGGCAAGGGGAAGAAACGTGACACTTCGTTAGTTTGCATAGTGCTTTGTAATTCTTTGCTTCTTCATTTACTTTGTATGCTCAGTCTAGTTTAAATTAATTTCTCGTAGTTTGTGACGATTTGGAATGTCACATTGGTTTTTCTATACTTTGTTTTAGAATGTTTCCTTGAGGGTGTGGGCGTGGGTCTTAGCGTTCTCTTCAACAATATCAACATCCACCCCACACATGCACCGACACCCTCACATTCAGGGTGTGGGTAGGTGTGGGTGTGGATGTGGATGTAGGTATGGGTGTCACTGTGGGTGTGAGTGTGGGTGTGGGTGGATGTGGGTATGGGTATGGGTGGGGTGTGGGTGTGGGTGCGGGTGTTTCTCATCTTCATTGAAGATCTACATTCACACACCTCACCTACCCACACCCACACCCGAGCCGATCGCTACCGACGATACGTGAGATTGGAATCATTTTCGTGTCGGCCGGATTGCAGTTGATAAAGTGGTGTTCATAGAAACGCGATAACTCCTTGGTACCAACGCCACCAGTCATAGTTGGGATGTGGTTGACGTACGGATCCGGTACCATAGTTGCAGCGACATCGCAGGTGCGAAATTCATATTCGCAGTGTTTGTCCCACAATGCTGAGAGATCGTATTGCGAACCGACTGTTTTATCGGCGAAGCCTGTATCGGTTTTCATCATAACCGTGAGCTTGTCGGACGAGTCTTGCACGTATTGAATTGTACTCTGCATGTTATTGTCTTGATAGATGTCCATAGTCTGAAAACTCTCTGCAATTACAACAAATTTTCACTTTGATATAAGAGACAACTGTCACAGGTGTTGACTCAATAAGCTATCAGCGAGTAAAATTATTTTCTGACTGCNACAACTCAATTCACACATGATTCAGTATTACAAACAGACAGTTGGCACGGAGAGATGTTGGTTCGGGTTTACCTCCACGAGTAGAAACAGGAGCGTGGCTGAAATGTTTGGAAACACATTATTTATCATCGATATGTCATTTTCCAGTGGATTAGATATCTGTTCATATTCACAATTCCCAGATGAAGACGAAGTGCTACTACCAGCTGGAACAAAGTTTCTAATCCAAAAGATTGAATGTGAAGATATACAAGATAAATACAATATACATATAAAGCTTCTTGCAAAAAACAATATCCTACAACAGCAACTTGATAAAACTGACTGCGTGACAACAATGCAACTGGCAAACAGTGAACTTGATTATCTCGATATGGAAATACTGCTAAAATACGTGAAAAACAATCTCAGTCTTACCACTATAGATCTTTCACACAATCGAATATATGAACAAGCCGCTGAAGCATTGGTAGATATCCTAAAATCCAACAAAACCATTACTACTCTTCAACTTACATCGAACCAACTATATGACAAAGGAGCTGAAGTACTTGGGAATGCACTGAAAGTCAATACAACTCTGAAAAATCTTAACCTTAGAGACAACGGAATATCTGTCAATGGAACTGACGCATTGCGTGATGCACTGAAAGAAAATCAAACTCTCACTAATCTTAACCTTGCATGCAATCGAATATCTAACGAAGGAGCTGAAGTGATCGCCAATGCATTGAAAGTCAATCATACTCTTACTACTCTCAATCTTGGACTTAATCAAATATCTGACAAAGGAGCTGAAGCACTCGCTGATGCGTTGAAATTCAATCTAACACTTATTACCCTTGATCTGCATCGGAATCTCATCACTGAGAAAGGAGCTCAAGCACTCGCTGATGGATTAAAAGCAAATAAAACTCTTCATACTCTTAATCTTAGATACAACAAAATATCTGATCCAGGAGCCGAAATACTAGCTGAGGCGTTAAAAGTTAACCAAACCCTTAATACTATTTATCTTAAATCCAACACCATATCTGACAAAGGCGCTCATGCGCTCTCAGATATGTTGAAAGTCAATCAAACTCTTACTTCTCTTTATCTTGAAGACAACCAAATATACGACAAAGGAGCTCAAGCACTAGCTGACACATTGAAATTCAATCAAACACTTATTACCCTTGATCTGCATAGGAACCAAATATCTGACAAAGGAGCTGAAGCATTCGGTGATGCATTGATAGTTAATCAAACTCTTAATATCCTTCATCTCTACATGAATCAAATATCTGACAGAGCAGTTGAAGCGCTCTCATACAAACTAAAAGTCCATCAAGCTTGTACAACCGTTACCTTTAGAGACAACGAAATATTTGCAAAGGAAACTGAAGCATTTGCGGATGCATTCCGACACGATCCTACCATTACTTCTGTTCATCTTGCAGACGACGCAATGATGGACTTTGGGATTGAAGCACTGGGCCAAGAATTAGGAGTTCGTCGAGCTCCTACCTTACCTAACTCTACATCGGACAGAATTATAGACACACGAGGTAACGTCCTCGCGGACAAATTGCAAGTTCATGAAATTGTGACTACTCTTAATCTTCAACATAACCAGATATCTGACGAAGGAGTCCAAGCTGTCGCGGATACATTAAAAGTCAACCAAACACTAACTACCCTTTACCTTCAAAACAACCAAATATCTAATAAAGGAGCAAAAACACTCGCTCTTGCATTAAAAGTCAACCAAACTCTTACCACTCTGGATCTTGAACACAACCAAATATCCAATAGAGGGGCTGAAGCATTGGCTGATGCATTGCAAGTCAATCAAACTCTTACTATTCTTAACCTTGGTTGCAACAGCATATCGGGAAAAGGAGCTCAAGTACTCGCGGATGCATTGAAAGTAAATACATTTCTTACTAGTCTTGATCTTGGGCACAACGAAATATCTGACAAAGGAGCTCAATCAATCGCGGATACACTGAAAGTCAACCAAATTCTTACTACTCTTATTCTTAGCAAAAACGAAATATCTGACAAAGGAGCTAAAGCACTTGCCATGGCATTGAAAGTCAATCGAAATCTTACTACTCTTGATCTTCAAAACAATCAAATATCTTACAAAGTAACTGAAGCATTCAGTGATGCATTGAAAGTCAATCAAACTCTTACTACTCTTAATCTTGCTACGAACCAAATATCTACGAAAGGAGCTGAAATAATCGGGAAGGCATTGAAAGTCAATCAAACTCTTATTGCTCTGGACCTGAGCTCAAACAACATACTAGACAAAGGAGTTGAAGCACTCTCCAATACATTGAAAGTCAATCAAACTCTTACTACTCTTGGTGTTTGGTACAACGGTATATCCGAGAAAGGAGCTGAAGCACTTGCTGAAGCATTGAAAGTCAATCAAACTCTTACCACTCTTGACCTTAACTGTAACAAAATCTCTGACAAAGGAGCTGAAGTACTCGCAGATGCATTGAAAGTTAACAAAACGCTGACTACTCTTAACCTTATAGCGAACCAAATCTCTGACAAAGGAGCTGAAGCATTAGCTGATGCATTGATGATCAATGAAACCCTTACTGCTCTTAATCTAGACAAAAATCAAATCACTGAGAAAGGAATTGGTGCACTGTCTGACGCCGTCAAATTCCGTCAACCTGTTACTACTCTTTGTCTTTTGCAAAATCAAATATCTGCGAAAGAAGCTGAAGTTCTCGCGAATACGCTGGAAGTCCATGAAACTCTTACTACTCTTAGTCTTGAACACAACCAAATATATGACAGGGAGCTCAAGCAATCGCGGCCATTTTGAAAGTCAGTGAAACTCTTACTAGTCTTACTCTAAAAGACAATCAAATATTTGAGAAGGGAGCTGAAGCGCTCGCTGATGCATTAAAAGTCAATCAAACACTTAATACTCTTTGTCTTTGGTACAATGAAATATCTGACAAAGGAGCTGAAGCTA